TTTAGATCTTTTAATGAGTCTAGCAGCATCCAAGAATCTAGACAAGTATCTGATGGATGTTGTGGCAGCATATCTAGATGAATCACTTGAAAATGATATATATATATATAAATCCCTCAAGGATTGAAAATTCCAGAAGCATTAAGATCAATATCTAAAGACATTTGTACGATCAAACTACAGCGATCAATTTACGGATTAAAATAATATGGACGCATGTAGTATAATCTTTTAAGCAAGTAGCTTATGTCAACAATGCGATATGCTCCTTTGTGTTTATTAAAGAATCCATATAAGGATTTATGATCATTTCTGTTTTTGTTGATGACCTGAATATAATTGGAACTCAAAAAGAAATTGATGATACAATAACTCACATAAAAGAAGAGTTTAAAATGAAAGATCTTGGAAAGACAAACTTTTGTCTTGGACTTCAGATAGAGCATTTCTAAGATAGAATATTTGAGCATCAATCAAATTATACAAAAGTATCTTCAAACGCTTTAGTATGGATAAAGTGACTCGTTTGAGTACATCGATGGTCAACAGATCGCTTAATGTTGATAAAGATCTGTTTTGGCCATGTGAGGATAGCGAAGAATATTAGATCTTTAAGTACCTTATATGACTGCTATTAGTGGGCTTATGTAACTTGCAAATTGTACTAGATCTGATACAGATTTTGTTACTAATTTACTTGCAAGATACAACTCATCTCCTACTTTCCGACATTGGAACAGAATAACACATATATTCTGTTATCTACAAGGTATGATTGATTTTGGTTTATTTTATTCTAGAAACTTGAGTTTGGTTTGGTTGGTTTTGTAGGTGCAGAATATTTATTAGATACGCATAAGGTTCGATTGCAGACCGGATATGTTTTATAATTTCTCCAACTACGATCTCCTGGTATTCCCAAAAGCAAACTTTAGTTGCAATGTCTTCAAATTATGAAAAAACTATTGCATTACATGAAACTTGTGGGGAATGCATGTGGCTCAGATCTATAATCCATAATGTGCAAGAAGCAAGCAGAATATACATAAAGAAAGAGCTAATAAAAGTGTTTGAAAATAATAATGCATGTGTCGTTCAACCAAAAGAAACAGAGCATATTCCTCTAAAGTTTTTCTCTTACACATGAGAGCTCCAAAAAAAAAATTAAAAAGTGAAAATTCAATATGTTCATTCATGTGATAGTATAGCGATCTATTTACAAAAACACTTCCCACTATAATATTCAGAAAACACGTTTATAATATTGGAATGCATCACCTAAGAGATTTAAAAAGATTATATCCATATTTTTCAGAAAAATTGCATCATTATAATTTTATTTTGTTATAGTTTTTATTCTATTTTTCGTAATAAGATTTTTAATAAAATAATATATTATACATAATTAATGATGAATAATCAAAAAAAGAGTATCAAAAATGAAGGTAATTATCTATTTAATTTAAATTTATTAATTTTATTGATTTGACTTTTTTACAAATAGAGTTGTTGTGCATTTTTATATAAAAGACAGACAATGAAAAGAAGAAATAAAATTCGTCTCTCCTTTCTATAGCACCTCTCTTCATATTTCTTTATTATTATTAAATCATATATATACATATACATAAATTTAACTATTATACTACGTGATTGGTCCACACCGTGTATAGGATATAAAATATTTTATATGTTAAATATATAATTAATATTATATACTGAAAATATTCTATTTATATGACTAATTATGTATTATTAATAATAATATATAAATATTTAATAATAAAACTTAATGATAATTAAAATGAAAAATGGGATAGAACTTAATAAAAAAAGAAAATAAAAAAAATAATCAAGAATATAAAATATTTTCTTAGATAAAAGATGTGAATTTAATAACTAAATAAATTGAAACTATTAAAATATATAAAATAGAGTTTAAAAATATCAAAAGCATAAAATTAAAAAAGATTTTGAAACACTTCCTTATAGACGATGTTCATAGTTTTCTTTTACACTTTTTCTTCTTTGTCTGTTATGAGAACTTTAAGTCCAGATCTAGACTTAACTCTAGATAATGCAACATATAGCTGTCCATGAGAGAAAACTGGTATAGGTAGAAACAAACCGATATTTTTAAGTGATTGTCCTTGGCTTTTGTTGATAGTCATTGCGAAAGTTAAAACCAAAGGGAACTGTATACGGCGCATTCTGAAAGGAAACCTTGTATCTGGTGGTGTCACATACATCCTAGGGATTAGAACTACTTGACCAATCATTTTCTCATTTTCCGTTATAACTCTACCTTCAACCACATGTCGAGCCAATTGAGTAATAATATGTCTAGTTCCATTGCATATTCCACCCTTAGGATCTATGTTACGAAGACACATGATAGGAGCACCAACCTTTAATTTCAAGCAATGCTTCGGTAATCCAAAAACTTGATGATATTCAAAAACTCAGTTGGGTAGTCCACATTTTTCAATGTATCTTTATTTGAAGGAACAATGCTGTCAGAGCTAAGGTATACTTTCTCATCACCTAAGATATTTATATAATAAGAAAATCAGTTGTGAACATACCAAGAAACCCATAAAAATAATTTCTAAAAGATAAAAAGTTTTGGAATACTAAAATATTTATTATGACTAATGATATTATATAAACATAATTATTTTAATAACAAGTTGAAAAAATAATTTCATATTTTTTTCAGCCGAACTTAAACAGAAATAAGCAAAATGGTATCACAGCTTAACTAAACTTTACGTTTAAAATAATTAATGCTTTTTACATTATGAATACATTATATAATATGGTAGTTATATTTATGAAAGTAAACCAAAGAAACAAATGTATGATAAGATATTCAATATTTACTCTAACAAACCTATAACAAACTGGTAATTCTATAAATTTTGAAATTTTAAATGCAAATTTGATATAAGAAAAAACCATGTGAATATAAAATAACAAAACATTTTAAAATAGAAATGAAGGTGAAAATAGTTTAAAAATATTACCTGGAAATTTTGAAAGCATATAGTCATTAATATGATCGACATCATCATTTGCAGGGCTAAGGATCGCCCTAGACTTGCAAAAATTCAGATCAGAAGATTTTCTTGAAGAATCTTCATAAACCTTACGAACAATAGTTTCAATAGGATCTCCACATTCAGTTATTAACAAATCTTCGGGAATACCAATTTTAACTAAGCTGTCGTTTGATAGGTTAATCTCTCCATCACCAATATCCAAAATCCATTCAGAGAAAGCTTTAAGATCTGCAGCATCGTGATCACTAAGCCCAGCAAGTAATCTCATATTCTTTGTAAGCTTCAAAACCTTGCAATGCTCCCAAAGGTATGATGCATTTAGAGATGCCAAAACGGTTTCCGCTCTTCTACGTCCAGTGATAACAGGCAGAATCTGTCTAAAATCACCACCAAACACAACTACTTTGCCTCCAAATGGCATATCCTGTTTTAATCTGATAATATCTCGTAAGCGATGATCTAAATTCTCAAAGAAATGCTTACTCATCATAGGAGTTTTATCCCACACTAATATCTGATCCTGGACTCATATTGCAAGATGTGAATCCGTCTGGTGTAATTAGGATTCCAAACCTCGAATGGACTGTCCTACCACCTGGTAACAAAAGCGCAGCAATTCCACTTGATGCAGTATTAACAACAATTAGACCTTTTGAATGAATAGCGGCAGAAAGTGTTAGTTATGGAAAGGTTTTACTTGTACCTCCAAAACCATAGACAAAAAACACTCTACCTTTATCATTAAATATTGCATCTACGATCTCTTCATAAACTGATCTTTGCTCATTGGTAATCATCCCCATGAATCTTTCATGTTCTTAACATTCATCTTGTGGGATATAATTCCGCTCATCATCAATTAGACAGTTGCCAGTGTAATTATAGAAATCATCTGGCAATGGCATCTTTTTCCAATTTGATAAAGTATGTCCATTGCGCAGCAATATATCCTGAATTTCTGACAGAGCTATGTTTTTATTTGATTAACTGACAAATTAAGACCTGTCATGTTCAGAAAAAAAAAAACACATATAATTATTTTAGTTACAATTGTTGTATATAATTTTTTTATAAGTATTTAAAACGTACCAAGGTTTTCAGTTTCTTTCCTCTGATTGAAAATTATGTCTTCAGTTAGATATTCCTAAGTTTTTTCTCAAATAACATGAAGCAGAGATAGACAGTTTGCAAACAACATTGTAGCAAAGAACCTGCAAATATATTTACCACCACACCAATTGCTGGCTTCATGGTTATAATATTTATAGTTGCCAGATGAATCAAAATCTAGTTCAAAGAACGGATTCGTTAACTCGCTGCATAAACAAATATTGATCAATAAAAATTAGAAACCTGCACAAAAAAAGAGCTCATGATCAATTAATTTACCTTTGACGAGAGGAATGCTTTAGAAATGAGAGTGATTTATCTTCTGTGCCAAACACTTTATCATACTCTCAGTTTCTAAGTGATGTAGGTAATGCATTAAATATCCTAATTGTTGGGAGATGAGAATAATGATTAATGTTTAAATGGGAATCTTCTCTGATGCACATGTTTCTGAATATCCAAGCGTTTTCAATTTTGATATAGTTTGTATTTTTTTTTTTTATTCAATATCCAGATGATTAATATGTTGCAGTTCTTTGGCTTCATTGTATGATTCTTGTTTTAAGAATAAACATCTCTTTTTAGTATAAATATATCTACATGGACATGGTTATGAATTATGAGTGGATGAGACTACAGAATTCAAACTAAAGATCCACAATGGAATTTTTCAAAATCTTGATAATAGAAAACAGAGTCATGTTTATCATTCTTACTAAAAATGAACATTTTCATAGTGAAGTCACAGAAACACATCAGACAGAGCTCATAAAGATACGCAAGAGAGGCCATTTATGGAAAAAGACGAAAGATGGAAGCTATGTCAGACTCAAAAACCATTTAAGCAGAATTCTGTAACAAAGGCTGAAAACGATATTATACGAACAAAGATGGTAGCTATTACGGTAACATAACTAAAATGTATTTTCCCCAAAGGTGGAAAGCTTGTCTTTGTCTGTTGTTGTCATAAGCCACTTTTGCTTAAAATCAAAAACCTTTCAACACACAAACTTTCACACATTTTGTTATAGAAGAGTGACATGCAAGCATATGTGGTTTCTGGTGAACCCTTCCCATCATTCCTCACCATCTTCCTCTTCTTCGTCATTATCATCTTCATCAGAGTTGCCTTCTTTCCTCTAGAGTTTTCATTTCCAAAAAAACTTATCAGAAGAATAGTCTCAGACATTACGATATAACAAATGTTCTGTCTCAGGAAAAGTCCATCTAAATTTCATCTCATCATATGTTTTTCTATAGGTACAGTAATATTTTCAGCAGAAACTCAACCAAGCTGGGAAAATTAGATGACTTTTTTACCTCATTTCCATCATCTCCCTCAAAATCCTCTTCATCAGCGACCTACAAAATTGCATATAACATTTTACCACAATCTTCAAGTAACTTAACTGCACTATACAATGTTAAGATTGGACAATGAAAGGGTTTAATAGCTTACATTGTTGAAGTAGGTGAGAGGGTTGGGCCATAGATCTTCATTGATGATATCCGCAATCTGCTACAAAACGAATTTCTGAGTTCAAATAAGGCCAGACGTTATATTACTCTTACAAATACGTCATAGTAATATACGATTATTACCTCGTCTTGAATCTCCTCCTCATTGTCCTCCTTGTGTTGAGCATCGCGAAACCAGGTAAAGAAACTGAAAAAGTCAGTCAAGATGGAGTCAGTTGACATCTAATTGCTAATAAAAAGAGAGGTTTAAGTCATCATGGTGCCATGGTTTTTTTAACTTGGATCTATGAGTGGGTGCAGATTTACTTAATGAGGAGATGAATTATATACCTCTCTTCAGGCAATGCACGTTTGTTTCCTTTCTTCTCGTGATTCACTCCATTTGGCAAGCTCTTCATAATTGAGAAACAGATTTTAAGACTTAAGAATAAATCCCAAAGAGTGATAATTTCAAGAAACAAACTTGTGTCGTGCAATATACATCTAGTTACCTTGCCCTCTTTCCATTGGATAGACGTGGTTGTGATTTTGGTAGTCCCTTCTTCGAGGAAGTTATAAATCTTCGTTAGTTTTCCATCCTCAAAATAGGGGTTGGGGCTGAAGTGCTGTAGCAGTTCACAATTCAACGACGATCAGTAAACTAAGAAACCAAAAACTCATGCTTGACTTTCTTAGATCAATCAAATAATGTGAAGGAGCTTACAAAAGTGATCGAGTATCCAGATTTCACATCTGTCACATCCTCAACATCCAGAGAGCTAAAATGTTTGAAAATCTGTGAAATCAGAAAATATAATCAAGAGGTAAAAAATGAATGTAAATGGTGAATCAATCAAACCAACGCTTAAGAAAAACACAAACGTTTTGGTCTTCATCTGTCAAAAGTTCAATTATTGTCGAGAGGAGAGAACAGGCTTACCTCTAACTTTTGGCCTTCGGCTATAAGACGGTCCATTGATTGTCGTAACTCTTTTACTTTAAGATCTGCTCTAGAAAGCAAAGCCTGAATCCAAAAACATAGGGTCAAAGACTGTAAAACAACTTTAATTACAGGAAGGAGGAGTTTATACATTCAACGATGATTACAAAACAACACTGAACCTCTTCCCTTAAGAACATGCGTAAAGTATTGTAATACACAAATCTTCTCGTCTCTGCAAACATAGCATTCATCAAAACAGTGATATCCTAGGAGGACTGAATAATAGGGAGAGGAAAATATGCAGAAAACATACTTTTCAGAGCAAAAATCCCAACCCGAAGAGCTAAGGTGCCTGATATCAGCGGATGAGATGTAGCAACGTTCACACTGTCTGCATACCAAACAGACCTTTAATCTTCCGAAACACCATATGCTCGTAAACTTTATACTCCGCTTAAACCAATGAATTAGAAAACAAAACTTACAATAGGTTCTGGAAGAAGAGTAATCTGCGCATACACTCTGTCGGTATCCGCCACGGTATCCCTCTCTGGCGGCGGAAACAGTTTTGTAATCCTTTGGGTCACTGTAACTGGCGGAGGGAAAGTTTTCTCCTCCACGATATCCATTCATCAAAACCTCCGAACTCGCCATACCACGGTAATCTCAAGCTCAGATCTGTGTCGATAGTGAGGCCTTCCGATCTGCAGAACCAGTCTTCTCAGCAATAGACGGCCGATCGAAGGGTTCATCACACGATAATCCTGCTTAAATGTTGATGATAAGAATCGCAAGTTTGAAATAAGAAATCGAGAAAACAGATCGGAGTAAAATACCTCTTGAAGGGGAGGTAATTCTTGTATGCCCCTCTCTCTCGTTATTAGACAATTCGATGGGAGTGCAACTAGATAGGGAGATTGATTGTGAGCTTTCTTGGATTTCGCCAATGAGAGAACCAATTTTCTTTCAGATTTGTCTCGATGGTTAGATGAATTTGATGAACATTTATCAAAAATTTCCTTTTCTGAATCCAAAAATATAGGCCACATTTCTAGTGACACATAAGCATTTTTTTAGTAAATATGTTTGTCATTTAATAGTTAAGATATATCCAAGAGATACTTCAAATTTAAAGTTTGGAAAACTTCAAATTTAAAGTTTTGAGTTGTTAATCTCTAATGTTAAACTTCAAAAAAAACTTTAAAACTATTTATATTTTATATTATAGTCCTTAATATTAATAATAATTAATTAACATCATAAAATTTTTATAAATAATTAAAACATATATATATAAAGATTACAACTAATATTAATCAATAAAACACTACATAATAATATAAAAATACATCATATACACATACTAAATTATAAATTACAAAAAAAATATCAAATTATTCAATAAAACTATTTTTATAGTGCTTCCATATATGATCAATCAATATATTTCTAAGTTATCTGAATATTAGTATTATTGTAGTATTTCAATTTGTAGAATATTTATATGTTTATATAATTTACTTTTTATATATTACTTTATTTTGTATTAAATTTGTTTTATATATAATTGTTATTGTGTAATAAAAATATTTATAATAATGTGTAATCTTTAATTTGTATATAAAAATTATATATATATATATGAAATACTGAAATTATTATAGATTAAAATAATAAATAATAAAACTAAAATATAAATATTTATATAGTATATAATTAAAAAAACTGAAATGTAAATAAAAAGGTGAAATTTCAAATTTGAAATTTCAAACAGTAAATTTGAAGTTTCACTGTTCAAAACTTCAAATACTCAGAATAAAGATGTATATAAAAAATAATCTACCTGTAGCGCGCGTTCTAGAAAATAATTTTTATGATTATTCTTCAGTTTATTTTCAATTTTTGAAAAAATCTCTCCATCTAGGCCTAGCGCCCGATTCAAGTCCAACTAGTTTCCGAGCAAAGGTAATTTACTAATATCGATGGTGACATTACGAGTTAAAGCAGTTTCTTCGTTGTAGTGAGAATGGTGAAATTGCTATAGAACCCAGAAGTCTCAAACAATCTCTGATCAGACACTGTTGTTTGTCTGAAAGCAAAGACATGAGCATCACGAAACTTATACGCTCCAATGCGTTCAAACCAATCCCAAATTTCGTCAGAAGCTCTCTACGTTACGCTTGTGTCGAGTCGAATCAAAACACAGACGGTCCTTACAGACCCAAGAAGCATCACATTCTAGCCACAGATCTAATCGTTTCGTATTTCGAAAAAGGCTTATTCGAAGAAGCACGATCACTGTTCGACGAAATGCCTGAGAGAGACGTAGTTGCTTGGACCGCAATGATCACCGGTTACGCTTCCTCCGATCACAACGCTCTCGCTTGGGAGTGTTTCCGAGAGATGATCAGGCAAGGAACGGACCCGAACGAGTTCACGCTCTCGAGCGTACTCAAATCTTGTAGAAACATGAAGGTTTTGGCCTATGGTGGTTTGGTTCATGGAGTTGTGGTTAAAATCGGTATGGAAGGTTCTCTATATGTTGACAACGCCTTAATGAATATGTACGCTACTTGTTCTTCGACAATGGAAGCTTCTTGTTCGATTTTTCGGGATATCAAGGCGAAAAACGATGTCACTTGGACTACTCTAATCACCGGGTTTACGCATTTGGGTGATGGCATTGGCGGTTTAAAGATGTATAAGAAAATGTTACGGGTAAAACTCACGAATTTGCTTATGTTTACTGTGGATTTTGGGATTGAGGTTTTAACATTTTGATCTGTTTTTGTGTGTGTTCAGGAGAATGCAGAGGTGACGCCTCACTGTATAACAATAGCGGTTAGAGCTTCTGCTTCGATTGATTCCGTTACAACGGGAAAGCAGATCCATTCGTCGGTGATTAAACGCGGGTTTCAGTCTAACCTTCCGGTGATGAACTCTGTTCTGGACTTGTATTGCAGGTGTGGGTATATAACAGATGCGAAACGCTATTTCCTTGAGATGGAAAATAAAGATTTAATCACAAGGAACACTCTTATATCCGAGCTCGAGAGATCAGACAGCAGCGAAGCTCTGGTCATGTTTCAGCGGTTTGAATCGCAAGGCTTTGTGCCGAATTGCTACACTTTCACAAGCTTAGTCGCTGCTTGTGCCAATATAGCGGCGTTGAACTGTGGCCAGCAGCTTCATGGAAGGGTTTATAGAAGAGGGTTTAACAAGAACGTTGAGTTAGCTAATGCTTTGATTGATATGTATGCTAAATGCGGCGACATACCGGGATCTAAAAGAGTATTCAGCGAAATCGAGGAGAGGAGGAATCTTGTTTCTTGGACTTCGATGATGATTGGGTATGGATCACATGGTTATGGAGAAGAAGCTGTTGAGCTTTTCGACAAAATGGTTAGTTCCGGTATTAGACCAGACCGGATTGTGTTCATGGCGGTTCTTAGCGCTTGCCGCCATTCCGGTCTTGTTGAGAAAGGGTTGAAGTACTTTCAAGTGATGGAGAAAGAGTACGGCGTAAATCCGGATCGAGAAATTTACAACTGTGTGGTGGATTTGCTTGGAAGAGCTGGGAAAATCGACGAGGCTTATGAGTTGGTAAAGAGGATGCCGTTTAAACCGGATGAATCCACTTGGGGAGCGATTCTTGGTGCTTGTAAAGCGCATAAACTTGCGGGAGTGATAAGCAGATTAGCTGCAAGAAAGGTTATGGAGTTGAAGCCGAGAATGGTGGGGACATATGTGATGCTTTCGTATATCTATGCAGCAGAAGGGAAGTGGGAAGATTTCGCTAGAGTGAGGAAGATGATGAGGATAATGGGGAACAAGAAAGAAGCTGGTATGAGCTGGATTCAAGTAGAGAACCAGGTTTTTAGCTTCGCTGTGAGCGATAAAGCGTGTCCTGATTCGGATTCTGTGTATTCGATCTTGGGTTTAGTGATAGAGGAGACTAGAGAAGCTGGCTATGTTCTTGACTTAGACTCCTTAGTTCATGATCAAGAAGTATGAAACAGAAAGACATAAATGTGGCTTCTGATTTCTACCATTTAAGATGAAGATCAAGAAAGTAAAGATGAATATGACAAGAAGGAGTGATGAAGAACACAGAATCTGAAAAAGGTAGACTTTTTCTTGATTTCAACGAATCTCTTTATGCATAGATACTGTAATGGAGAGTGGTCCTACTTACAAAAGAACAAACTTCACCATACCTCGTTTTAGATCAGGTATGGCTAACTTTGGTTCAGAACAATCGTAAATCGCCTCAACGGATCATATATTGTTGGCCTATTTATAGCATAACTTCTCTTTCTTGAGTTTATGCTTTGATTTGTCATAGTTTGAAAGAAATTGTGAAGAAATGGTTGGCTATGAAGTAACCTCTGAGTTTTCTTTATTAAAAGCAAAAGATATACACATGGGTCATGTTAAAGTTTGTAGTTTTCGGTTGAAATGTTAACATCAGAAGGTTCAGATCTAGACAATTAGAACCTAAGCTTTGCTTGTTCATAGGTGTTCATAGATATTTTCCGGTTTATTGTGGTTTAGTCTGGAAAATAGGATATTGAATCTTATTAATATAGAAAATTAAGCAGCGACAGGAGAAAGTAACACATCATTAAGAAGATAAAAAGAGAGAGATAGAGGCTTGAGTAACTAAGCATCTCTGATTGCAACAGCTTCCTTAATTCCATTGTTCTTCTCCATTGCAGGCTTCTCCACTTCAGGTACAACAAAAGCAGAAACCGGGAAAGTTCTGGACAAACCGGTGGGTGTCCTGAAATTGATCTTCCCTGAAGAAGTTGTCTGCTCCAAGGCAAGCTCATTGAGAGTGACCCAAATAAGAAGCTCCTTAGCCTTAACTCCGGTAAGCTTCTTGATCTTTCCGACTTCCACCACCGCAGTGACCTCAGTGCCGTAAGAGACAAGTTTTCCAATGGTTTCGAACTTGTGGGTGATGCTCTTCTTCTGTTTCAGCCACACAACACCTGTTTCTCTGTCGTAACCAACTTCTTCTATGTCCTTCAATGGCAATAACCCATTAGGCATATTAACTTCGCTGAGGAACTCCTTCGTCTTCTCGCGGCATATCTCATCTCCTGTGTATTTCTCTGCCCTAGCTCTCACTTCATCGGTAACCAAACCCATCTCTGTGTTTTTGTTTTGTTTATGTTTTTAAGATCTCTGTCTTTTGGGTTCTTTTGGGTTCTCTGTGCCTCTTCATTTATAGTTGGTGTGGTATGGATTCACCCTTGCAGCATTTGTTTAATTACGGGAATTGCCACTGTGTGAAATTAATTGCATGTGTCCAGGGAAGGAAGGACTATGAAATGTTCTAAACGGTTGTAAAGTCAAAGATTAAAAAACATTGGGATGTGAAAAAATTACACAAATTGATCACAAGAAAGTAGTTTTACACAAATTGATCACAAGAAAGTAGTTGGTCCAATGCCTTAATTATTTCTTTAGTTTTTAACGTTAATCTGCAAAAACTGAAACATCAAATTACTTCAAATGGCCATTCATTTACATCGTTTGTACCTACCCACAACTAAAATATAATCATCCCATTAAAGAATATTATCAAAAAAACAATTTTTGATATAATGGGTGGATTAAATTGTTCGGTGAAAATGTTTTTTTGGGGTTATAATGTGATGCATTGTATTGTATAGGTCTTTAATGGTTACAGTTGGGCAGATTTATGGCCTAAATTAAAGTGACTTGGGTGAGGAGACAAACGTTACAATATATTACCAATGGCATATCGACACGTGTCGAATCGGATTTTTCATTTGTAGGTAGGACGGTCACCTTATTTAATCGTATAGTGAGGTTACAACTTGCATACTATATGATAGAAAATTTTAGAAAACAAACAAAAAGTACATGAATCAATGGTCTCGTATGCAAAATATATTCTCTAGACTGCAAAATGAATTCTAGACCAAGCTGAAACGTGAAAATACATATAGATTAGGTATAAAATGGATGATACATATTATTTTATGACTGTTTTGAATAGTCGTTTAGTCAATGTATGTTGTAAGTTTCAAATTTTTCTAACAACAACAACAAATCGTAAAATGAACTATTCCCTTAAATTCAGATTCTACTGCCATGTATTCTTAAAGATATATTTCCATTTATTTAATTAATAATAAAAGAATTATTGTTAGGTTCATGCTTTTATAAATTGGTGAATTGCGCAAACCACAAATAGAATTATTCATAAATTCAACTATGTATACATATTCGAATGAACTATGTTCCTTAAATCCAGATTTTACGGCCACAAGTAAAAATGCATCATGAATTAATTGTAAGATCTAGATATCACTCTCTTAGAGAATAGAAAGATTTGTGAGGGAAAGATATAATTTTATTAAGTTAGCCGGAACTCGAAGAGTACAGAAGTTTTAGGTCGTCGGAAAAGAATGCCGATCTAAAGTTTTGAGAGTAAGAACCGAGATCTAAAACTGAAAGCAGTAAGCTATTGTTTGCCCTAGGTCTCGAGTCCGAAGTTGTGAATGAATAGTCTTCTCCTTATATAGTCGTCGTAGACCGGGATCGGACCAATCTGGTCGGATGTTTGCACGCGTGATGGGAGTGAACTACAAAAAGATGAAAAGGGACCAGTAAGAGCACGCGGCGAGACGATTTGAGGAAGGACAGTTAGGGACTGTAGCCCGAGGCGATGCCGGGCCATCGGGAGTTCGGGAAGCAATCGATATACCCGAGCTATGAGTTGAATCAGACAAGGCCAGGAGCACAATCGACGTGTCCGATCGGGACGATGGCGGCGAGGTCGGGAGCGCAAATGCCCTAGCTGACCGAGATGAAGCCGAGGTCAAGGAGGAGGAGAACAGCCTTAGTGAAACAGAGGAGTTCGGGGAGAACGGGATCCTCGATAGATACACCTCGTATTCTGTTAAGTCTTTGAGGCGAACTAAGAAGAACACCACGGGCCCGGAAAACACGTTTGGAATTATCCCGACCCGTACTACGTGGAGGTCGTTGACAAAGCTAAAGCAGGTATGCGGGATTGGTCCTGATGTGAAATTTGTCGTCCTGAGCCAAAAACAACGTCCTTGGGATGCACCGCCAGGCTACTTATGTATATTTGAGCATTTTTTCTCTATAGCCGTCATTGGTTCCCATTGCCTTGTGTCCTTCTAGAATATTGCACGAGAAGGAGAATGCCGATCTCACAGACCATGCACACCTGTATCCGTCACGTGGTAAGTCTGACCGTTTTGGCCCAGTAGAATGGGCTGCCCTTTAACACGGATATCTTCGAGGAGATGACAGATATAAAGCCCCAAGGGGGGAATACGCGTAACCAAGGCTCGTTCTATATGAGTATGAAGAGAGGGTTGAACATCGTGACAGAGGCGACGTCAAAAAATGTCAACAATTGGAGAGACTGCTACTTCTATGTTAGGATCGATAGGAACACAGTAGTCGATACGGACGTCCCGATCCTCACTAGATGGGCTGAAGTGATCGGTAGCTAGCCGATCCTCAGCTGGTGAATTTCTTTCTCAATCCCGTCCTAACAAATTCGTTCCTGTTTTTGCAAACAAGCCGGCTACCACGATTCGTAAACCAGCAAAGGGCTTCTTCAAGCACATCGACGACTTCAAGAGACTTAGTCACGAAACTTGGCCGCAATTCACGTTCCAAAGAGTTTCAAGAGCTATAGGTGAGTCGAATGATTTTTAGCCCGAGCTAAAGAAATCTACCCGAGCTAATATTAGTTTTTGCTTTCGTCAGGTCCCCTTCGTCAAAAATCAAGGAAAATGCCGATTAAGCCAAGGAAGACGAGAGATTTTGCCAAGGAGCTAGATGAGTCTCTATTGGCTGCAGGTACAAAAAGCATCGAACAGAGGTCAGGCGAGACGCTTGCCTCTGATGTGAACAATCCCGAGGTCAACTGGACCCGAGAAGATGCTCCTCCAGAAGGAATCCCAGACCTGGGAGCGGAGATTCAGGACACCGTTGATCCCGTCCTTCAAGAATTCGGGAAGGAAGCGGCGGACGCTGCTGTTAAAAGGACGTTAAAGCGAAAGAGGGCGGAAAAGAAGAAGGCAAGGGCTGCGAAAGAAGCAGCTCGTGCCGAAGAGGAGGCCTATGCTGCAGTCAATCCGGAAGATGCTCCTGTGATTGAAGCTGAGGATCCCGAGGCTGGTGAGGCAGACAAAGATAACGGGCTCCCCGATCAAGTCGTTGTGAGGGTCGGGGCTGAACCTACTGCCAAGAGGCGCAAGGCTCACTCTTGCCCGAGCAAGTATGCCTTCGAGTTTAAGTACCGAGGGAAGGTGCCAATCCACATGGACGAAGTGTCCAGTGCCCGGCTGACGTGGGAGATGAAAGGTCTTCCCCTCCCGTCATGTGAGATGGATGATCTCATTTACAGGGATGACTTCGTTGGCATGTCGTCGGCGGGAGTTCGGGTAAGGTTTCCGTTTGTCATCCTCGGGCTAATACGTAATTTTACTTACTATTTGGCGTCGTAATAGTTAACTTTTTATTTATCTTGCTGGCTAAGAACCTTTCCACCGCGGTAGTGGAGCGGTACGATCGTGCCTTGAAGAAGAGCCATTTAAATGAGAAGAACCTGATGAACGCTCTGGAAGCTAATTAGAGTGAGATGGCTGGCATGAAGGCGGAGATCGATGCTCTCGATCTTCAGGCAAAGTCTAAGGACGAAGAGAACAAGTCTCTCACAGCCGACCTAGCTTCGTCGCTGAGGATATTCGAGTCTGAGAAGCAGGCTCTCGTCAAGGCCCGGGATGACTGGGGTATGACGATAGCGGCCCAAGTTTGGAGGTTGATATCCAGCCACTACCTCAAGTCTGTGAGGAAGACGCATGTGTACATAGCCCAGCGTGAAGAGGTGGACGTCAACATTACATCTCACGTTAAGTTGAAAGGGCAGTTAGATGCCATCGAGATTTATAAGCGGAACGGGTTTGAGTGTCCTCTGTCAGTGGTTGAGAAGATTGAAGCCGGGCTGAAAGAGCTGAATGACGAAGCCGAGCTCTACGACGAGATAGAGCTCGTCGACGAGGATTTCAACGTTCTCGATCAAGCGCTGGCCTTTCCGAGAGATCATCCTTCGGTGGTTCTTCTTGGAGACGACCATGGATCAAACAAAGGGAGGCTAACCCCGGAGGCTAAACCTGGAGCTTAGGGATGTCCCTGATTTGGAAGGCGCTCAGCACGAGTTTAACACGAGCCAGGCGCTCGTCGAAGCGGTCACCGGACAGGATGCAAATCCTGGTGGCGTTTCTGATGTGATCGGGGAGACAAAGAGAGATGACGGGGAAGGCCAAGTTGAATTGAAGGGGGAGGATGAAGGCCGGACTGAAGAGGGAGGTAAGGATGGAGGCAATGCTGGATCAGAAGCAGAGACCGTGCCAAAACTGAGGATGGGGAGATCAAGGATCCCGAGGCGTGACCCCTTGATGTTTTGTTTTTGTTTTGTTGAACTTTAGCCTGCGCTGCGGAGTTGAATTATTTTCTTTAGCGGCTTTCTACCCGTTCTGCGGGTTTTTTGTAAGACACTTGGTCTTTTATTTTGTGATTAATGGAATTTAACCGTGCTGGGGTTTTACTTATTCATATGTTTCGGACTTGAATGTGATGCGGAGAGATGATCGTGCGGGATAGGTCCCGGCTTTTGGTAGTTATTTCGAATACGAGCGTGCGAGGAGGTCGGCTTACATTGCATCGTATGACTTTATATTCATAAGCGACTAACCATTTCGAATACAAGCGTGCATAATTTGTTGGTATGACTTAGAATTTTCTAAGTTCGAATGTAAGTGCAAAATGGTTTCGGTTTACTCAATACACGACCTAAAAAGTGCGAGTCTGGGCTCAGCTTTAAAGATTCCCGGGCTAAGTGGAACACACTTTTCCCTTCGACCTTTAAGGTGATTTCACCAATTTGTTCAAGAGGAACGTATGCAAGATGGGACATGGCTTTGATTATTGCCGAGTTAAGTTGATCAGACTTAACTATAGGCATTGTATCGTGTGTCTGGCCAGGACATCGATGTGTAGTATAACTTGGAAGCGTTTCGAAAAAAAGTAAAGTATAGAGCTCAGGAGCACACAGAAGATAGGTAAAATATGAAGAT